TAATCTTGTGTATCTGGTTTACTTCACTTAACGCTGTGTTTTCAAGGTGCATCCACCTTCTTAAAAATGTCTCAAACTTATTCTTCTTTATATCCAACTAGTGTTCAGTTGTATACTAGATACCACATTTTCTTTATCCATGCATTCTGTTGATGGACATGCAGGTTGCTTCCAGGATTTAGCTGTTATGAATGTTATGAATTTTAGGACTTCTTTCTCTAGGTGTGTGAGGAATATTGCAGGCATTTTCACTGGGATTGTGTTACATCTATGCATCAGTTTTGGAAGTATGGCCATTTTGACAATACTATTTTTGCTTATCCAGGAACGAAAACTATAGTACTCTGAAAAACGACAGTGACAAAGACATCAGAAAATGTGTATCCATTCTTAAGGTAAGCCTGATTCTCCTTGAATTCTGATCAAATCTGACAATAATGCTTCCAAATGAATGTTTCCTGAATATTCTGGAAAGTTCCAAATAGCTAATGAGAAATTTTTAAATTAATGAATAACGGTAAGCCTAAATATGGAAAATTTTGAGCTACGTAGGCTGTAAGCATTATCTTTTATTCACTTAACCAAGTAAAACTTTCAACTTTCAGTTGAAGTTTTCAATATTCTGCCTTTAATCTGTAAAGTCATATTTCTACTCTATAAGGTTGTCTTTTGCACTTTAGTAATATAGTAACTTTCTTCCTATCTCAGAAGAGGAAAAGACTATGAGAAAGATTTACAAACTTTATGAATGATGGTGTCATTATTATTTTCCTTGAATTAAGATGTGGAAAATTATAGCTGCTTTTTCTTTTTTTACCATAAATTATCTGTGTTCTTGCTCTGGTTCTCTTTATAATTTTCTTCCTTGTGCTTCAATGAATTGACATACATTACATTATATATCAATGTAATTTTTAAAGGATAATACATGCACTTCTCTGTTGGCGAAAATAAAACATATTTACATTTAAAAATTTAGCCCATATAAATATCTCAAGTAATTTTTAAAAATTAATTTTCCCTCCTAAACATTTTCTTTACACATCAGAGTAGGCTATAAGTTATTTTCATTTAATGGAGAACAGACTTGTTAATCTGCTAAAGTATTTTGCAAAATTCATCTTTAATTTATGGAAACTCTATTATGGGTTTTACATTTTTATATATTCTCTCATATTCAATAATCAGATTTCATACCTGACTTTCACTCACTTCATAATGTACATTTGATTCATGTCTAGATGACAGGTATATAGAATTCAGAAAATGAGGGTCAGCTGCCAACACAAACTAGTTTTCATTGATTTCACCACTCCCCAAATGCTATATTTTGCTTTTAAAACCATAACAAAAATCTTAAAAATGCTTACTACTCACAAATCTCTCTCTGTCTCTCTCTCTTTCTCTCTGTCTCTCTGTCTCTCTTTCTCTGTCTCTCTCTCTCTCTGTCTCTCTTTCTCTCTCTGTCTCACACACACACATACACACACACACACACACACACACACACACACACACACACAGGCATCCGTAAAGCATGGTTTCCTAATTGAATAACCTAAATGCATGGATTGTTTACAATTAAAATTCAGAAGAAAACCTAGTTATCTGCAACTGATTAGGAACAGGTACATACTATATGGTAAATACTAGGAAATGTCCAGAGAAACACTTCCTCCTGGTAGCTAAAATGCAAAATGAAATTATTTTATTTCTAATTCAATTCTTATCTGAAAAACCATGTATTATTGCTTGCCCGGATTTCCTCTGTGACTAAATTTGTAAAAACTATGCACTTAATTGATTAGTTTTGTTTTCCACTGGGTTATTCTCAGACCTATGTTGCTTCATATCTTTCTTATAAACTTTCCAACCTCGGGGGGGATGTAAAAATTCATCACAAGTATTGCTAAAGTAGCCTTATATACTTAGGCAACTAAATTGCCCTGTGATGACAATGAAAACAATGTTTCATCATTTGCATGACCCTTGAAATATGATCCTCTCAACTGACTGCAAGAGCCTTACCTCTTCACTTCTCCAACATCTATCTTTGCTCTTGATCTAGTCTCCCTTGACTTCTTGCTCTAAGATACCTTGCCACTTCAGTCACTTCAGTCATTTTTCAGACTTGAAAAATCGAATATAGCACTTTTCAGAGATGATTACAGCACCAGCCAGAGCTCACATGGAGTGATTTGTGTGGACTAAAAATGGTCACAAATATGGCAAATTTTATGGGCTTGCTTTTAAATCCTACCTTCATTATGAGACCTTAACCAATTGCAAAGTACTCCTCCAAGTACTTCTGGAAGTTGGTAGAGGGTGACTTACATCAGATTACCTGCTACTCTTTACTGATGCTCCCTGTAACTGTAGGTGTGACACGATAATAACTGCAATCTGTGTCAGTCCTGCTCATTAACAATTGACTCCAAGATCAATTTTCTTATCAGTTCCTGATCAGGTCCTTGAGAAGCAAGTGGCACCTGTTTGACTGGGCTGTGTATAACACCTTTCCCCAACACACACAAACACAACCCCACACATACAGAGTGGTATACTGTTATGGTGGATTCATTATGTCAACTTGAGACCTTTAGAAGCTTAACTAAGTAACTCAGCAATTCTACATCCTAGGGTGTAGAGGACATGCCCTAGGGAGGCTGTTTATGCTCAAGGATGTTGTAATGGTTGATTCATTGTGTCAATTTGAAAAGTTCAGAAGTTTAACTAAGTGATTCAACAGGGGACCAGGGTCCTCACTTTGTAAACATCCTGAGCTTGTGCAAGATGGTGTGAATGCTTCACCAACCTAGGGCAGGTAGCCTACATACAGTACAAAGGAGAAAAAGAAGCTTGTTCTGCCACTTTTTTGTTCTTACTGCTTTTGCTGTCTTCTGCCACCATGAACTGTTGGGCCTCTGCCATGCAACCCTGCTTTGGAGCCAGCTGATTATGGACTGAAACCTTTACAAACTGTGAGCTAAATAAACCTTTCCTTCCTTAATTTTGAGTGTCAGGTATTTTGCCTCAGCAATAAGGGAAAAGTAACTAAGACATATACACACAGACATCAGTGTATATACATAACCACAGCTACACACACATAACCACAAAGCTTTTACACAGTGTGAAGGCACATTCTTCATCTCTGTGTTCTGTTCTGTAAGTACAAAAAAAGAGTACCACAGTAGGTATGTGAGACTAAGAATGTTCCTTCACTATGCACACATGTAGGAGGTTCTTCCTTGTTTTTTGTCTGTTGTTGTTGCTGTTGTTATTTTCTCCAAGGTGCACATCAACTATCAGGATCTCTAAGTCTCATGAGTTTTCAAATACTTATCTCTGTACCAGATAATTTTCATCCCATCCCACCCAGCAATCTCTCAGTTAAAAGCGCCACCTCATTTTTCAAGCTGAATTCTTTCACCACCTTGCATACTACCATAAGGCCCTGTAATGCTGGGATGAGAAACAATTACCTCAGTCACCACATGAAACAGTCATCACAGGCAAATAGTGTAAGAGAAAAAATCTAATCAATGATCCTCATGCCCACTGGGATAACTCCATTCCAGACCTCCACTTCAACACCTCATTTACATGATTATCAGTTAACTCTTGCGATAAAGAGTTAGAGTAGGTAACGAGTTGAGCAGCTTCCCTCCACTGTGCCCTTCCACAGCTGCCCATGGACTGAAACCTCCAGAACCACGAGCAAAGACAAACCTTTCCTCCATTAAACTGAAGGTGTCATGTGTTCTGTCCCAGCAATGGGAAAGCTATCCAGTGCACATAACCTCCTCCTCTCTGTGTGTCTCAATTTTTTCTGTCTCTGTCTCTGTCTCTTTCTCTGTCTCTGTCTCTCTCTCTCTCCTTTCTTTTGAAAGGATACCACTCATTTGATTGAGGGCCCACCCTAAATCCAGGATGATCATATCTGCTGGTAAATTTCTATTGATTTTTAACTTAATTGTATCTACAAAGATCCTATTTCTAAATTAGGTCCCCTTCACGCATACTGGGGCTAAGATCAGTATATATTTTTGGAGGACACAATTCAGCCCATTAGTGAAATGTTAGGAAATCGCTAATTTGGGTCAATTACATGACAAAGTTCAAAATAGACGCAATGTGTTCAGTGTCTTAAGAGCTAAGTGGCACAAAGGAAAAAATTAAATACAGTTAGGGAATTTCCATACACCAAATTAGAGAGCACCATCTACCCACTCCAATTAAGTTATTCTCTCACTTTGGAAGTTGGAAATAATAGTACTATTTGCAATCTGTTATATAAAAGAAATTGAGAATAGTCTTTTTCACCTGGTGAAATTTATCCTCTTTAGCCTGAATGAGTTTACATTGAACAAAAAACAAAATACACACACACACACACACACACACATGCACACACACAAACCTGGAGTTGTACCTGTGAAATTCTCATTTTTTTATTTGTGATAGATAAGGTGACTATAAAAGAGACACTTTTACTGTCCTTAGTAGAAGAGAGTGCACCATGTTGCAACATAAATACATGTACAAAAATCAAAACAGATGTCTTTGAAGACACAACAATCAGAATCCAAATCTCTTTAGTAAGGACTTCACAAATGTTCATATACTAATATTTATATACTAATACAATGCTTGTGTAAATAAGTTCAACATAAATTTATCCAAATAAGTTCATGCTGGTTTTGTATTGTATGGTATGCTCTTCACAGCCTGCTAGAAATGAATACTATCACATAAAATAAAAGCATATGGATTAAAACTAAATGGCTCAAGGGCCATGGGAATGTTTTGATAAAGAGTGTAACTTCTGCCTGGTAAAACGTGTATGAAACGTGAGGGGAAATGTTCAATGAAGGCATAAATCATGTGTTCTAGAAGAGTGCTGGGAAGCAAAATCAGTAGACCATCAATGTGTAGGACTGACATTTCAACTTGTCATTTTAGAAATAGTTCTTCTTACATATATATTTAATGCTGACCTGTTCGAATGGAGAACTTCCAAGTAGAGTTACGTCTTTCTGAGCATGTCTTTCAAACTCCTTGATGGACTCGGGGGAGGCTTCATCAGCACTTTTGTGGGTCTCATGATTCTTACGGGAACTTGCGAGTGCTTCAGAATCCAAAATCTCCTCTGTGTTGCTCTCATCTGTTCCCCCCAAGAAGATCACATGGAACCTTGCTTTTGTCACATTAGCATTGATCAAACACATGGTCAACTACTTCATTTCTTTTATGGAGTAAATTTTGGTCTTTCCTAATCTAAACTTAGCAAATTGTTTTCTTTTTAATGTATGGGGAAATCACTGAAAGTCAGAAGTTTTCTAATTGAAAAAGAGCAACATCCCGTCTTTGTTCTGTAGTATTTACAAGATGAACAGATAGATACCTATATGGTAAAGCCTTTTTCCCATTTACCAAATATATCCAGAAATGTTGAGATGCGCTTTACCATACTTTTTAATATTACATGTTGTTTACTTGAATATTTTACCACTTGCTTGCTGTGCTGCTGAAACTAGCTTGGGAGATGATTCACTGAGGAGGAACCAAGGCTCTTTGGCCAAGTTAAGATCCCTGAGAACAGTTCCTGAGCTGCACACGCACAGAGGCACTGGATTTGGGCTCCCTTGTTTATCTGCATAGCAATGCCAGCATTTATATACATGATACATGTGCTTTACCTCTCTATCATCTGAATACGGTATCACCTACAAAATGTATCTATTCATCTAGCCAGAGGCACACTGTACATATAAAATAATCCTCCCTCTTCTCATCTCTAAAAATGCTGGAAAGTGTGATATGGAATTTTCCTTGTCTCCAGTGCTAGAATTTTGGCAAGAAGCAATGGAAGGGAGCTTCTTAAAGAGGAAGGAAGAGAAGAGGTACAGGAAAGAACACCGAATAGCACTGCTTAGGGAACACCAGTCTGCTGTGCTCATTGCTAAACGGTGTCACCTTGCATAAATCTTTAAACTTCGCAAGATGTGCTTTATCCTCATGTATAAAATAGTTGATAAAGTGCCTGACTGTCCTATAAATTGTATGTGACTTTTGTAAGCCTGTAAATGACTCTTAGAAGACCTCTTGGTTATTGTCTATAAATGCATGACAGAGATGGTTTCAAGGGATCCAAGCTGATGGAGCTGTCAGAGTGGAAAGGAGGAAAGTACGAAATGTCTACTATTCCGTCCTTCCACATTATTCAATACATGTTCGCTAACTCAGAAATGAGACTAAGCATAGAGAGGCCTGTGTGACTCGATTTTATGTATCAGTTTGACTTCAGTTATAATGCTCACTTGCTCGGTCAAACACCAGTCCGTATGTTGCTGGGACAATGTTCTTTAGGATGTGATTGATATTTAAATCTGTAGACTTGAGTAAAGCAGGTTACACTTCAGTATATAGGTAAGCTTGAAACAATCAGTTGAAGTCCTTAAAGGTCAACAGGTAAAGTTTCCTGAAGAAGAAGGACTTTGGTCTCTAGCACACAATCTTGAATCCTTGCCTCAGTTTTCAGCCTGCTGCCCTGGGGAATTGGAACTTGAAACTGCAGTTTCACCTCCTGCCCAAATTTCATATCAACAATTCCCGAATTCTCCAGCCTGCTAATCTTTCCTAAGGATTTCAGACTTGCCAGCCTTCACTGTCATGTGAACCAATTTCTTTGTTTATTTAGGCCAAAAAGAATAAATGAACAAATGAATACCTGGCTACACAAATTTATAACAAAGAAGGCAAGAGTAGGTGTACCCAGGCAGAAATAAAATTTTGATAGGGTACTATTCTGTAAATGGAAATCAAAAATGGGGTCAATCTTTAGACTTGTTACCTAGTTTAAATAAGTTAACATTTACTTTTCTTAAAACAGTATTTTGGGCATTTCCAGGTACCTAAGGTACCTAGGAGGCACTCAGATATTTAACAAGTGCTAACAGTTTCAGCAGCAGCAGCATTTATTATTCATACATTAGCATCTTTATTATTTGAAGATATGTACTTTCATATCTGTTAAGATACTAATCAATAATCTAAACTTCACAGCTACTTCATGTAGCTAGGGTTATATGTCATCTTGGCAGAAATAGAAAAGAAAAATTAATTGGTGAAAGGTCACAGGGCTAGTGTATAGTTAAAACTAAGCATAAATTCAAAGGGAATAACAGTGACAACTATTAGAAAACCTAATCATCAGAGCCCACTCTCCTTTAAGTACTTTAAGAAGTTATTTTAACAAGGAAGATAAAATGATCATTTGAGAAGAACTAAGCACACACTGTGAATCTACAGAATGACTTTACATGAATTCAACTATACATTTTCATAGGAATTTCCTTTTAATATTTTTGTAAAATACAATATGGTCTGGCATGAGTTCACATGAATCAAACTGAGAATTTAGAATTCAGTTTTTAGACAACTGCGTTCAATTACTGTTTTAATACACACAATGACTCCTCACTTGTTAGAAAGAACCCAGCATTTGTAAATAAGAATTCCTCTGCTAAGGTGGAAAATAATACACTACTTGTCCTCACCACCCCAAAATATTTGTTTAAAAGCTAAAACAGTCTATAAAAGGTATAGTACATAGCTTCATAAATTAGTAAATCCAAATAGGCCGTATGCCATTATAGGATCCTGCAATAGTAAGTCTCAAATCATTTTGCTACTTCAGGTCACATATTGTACACAATTATAGAAAATCAGGTCATAATTATTTCCCATAAACTTTAGCTACTTTTCAATATTTACAACAAACAAAGCACATATAGTTCATCAGTGAATGGTTATATTTACAAAAGAAAGGTCAAAATTTGTGAGAAAAACTCTCAATCAACTTATAACGAAAACTCATCTAAAATACTGAATATAATTGGTCTCTTACCTTGAAATTCTCCTTGTCCACTCCCACCAACCAGCTTCATTAATTGATTAGAGAAAATTTTAGCACCACCTTGTAGGGATGTTAAAAGAATATATGCATAATTTTCTTATCTGTTACTTTAGAAATATTCAATATAATTCCAGAAAGCAGTAATTAATCATCATAACTATATGGTTACATTATGGGTCACAGACACAAACTGTACTCAATATGGTCCTTGTTCCAAAAAATCTTTCGTAAATCAATGGTAATTGGAACAATGATTTCAAATGCATATTACAGGGCATACATAATAGGATACTTATCCAATAAAAAGCATCTCATAGTCAATAGATTATGACATCTATTACTCAAGAATCATTTCAACAATCACATTATGGTTTGCCAAATCATATAATATAATATTTAAGTGTTTGATCAAAATGAATGGATGTTTTTCATTAGCTACTCTGTCTTTATATTTTCTACTCTGTGTATGTATGAAGCACAGACTTTGGTGGTCTTTTATATGCTATCAGATTGCAGTAGTATGTATAAAGGAATCGAGAATCTTAGTGTTGTTGTATATTTAAAGCAAAAAGGCCATGATGTTACCTATACCCTGCAAAACAAGACAAAAGCAAAATCAGAAATTTAATCATCAATACACAATTCTAGAAGACAGTTTTGTTTGTTTTTTATTGCAGTGTTAAAATCTAACTCAGTGCCTTGGAGACACATGGCATGTGCTCTACTCCTGAGCTACATCCCCAGGCCCAGAAGAGGGCTTATAATGTCCTTTAGGCCTAGGCATGAAGCTCTGTGGAACAGCACTTGACTAGCACATTCCAAGCCATGTGTTCCATTCGCAGGCCCTCCTCTGACCAAAAAAAGTGTGATCTAGATGTTATCTCCTGTTATATCCTATTAAACCCACTCAGACATCCACAATGCAAACTGAATGACCACCTCAGCCTTAGAAATAAAACACAGCTGCATTAATACATCAAACATGTCTCTCTTTCCACGGGAGCCAACTACACCATGCGCTTTTACTGTGCTGCTTTCCATACTGCCCTTACGTTTCCATTACTTACCATTGCACTACCTACGATGATATTTAATTCTGAAACTCACATCTAAAACTCCACCAAGTATTGCAGTAGAGTCTTCTGAGATTTTTATTCTCTAGGAGTAAAAGATCCAGATAATTCTAGGTCTTCTCTTCCTACCCATAGCTCAGATTCCTTTAACATCAGTATTGGAAAATACTGACCCAAAATAGTCAGTACTAATGGACCTGGAATGACTGAATAGGAAAGCTTTGTCTGCTGGGGTAGATGAAGACTATGACATAAAAAGGCCTATGAAGCTAGTAAGTTCTGCTCACTGTATACTCCAGATGGCTTTTTCAAGTACTGATTGACCTACAAGTTTTCTACTCTTGCCAAAAGCCAACACTCAGGGAATGGGGAGGGAAGCCACCCCTGGAATGTATGTTGTGGATCATGCATTAGGAAAGATGCTGTTATTCCAGCACTGCTTGAATCTTTATAAGTCTTAGTGGGACAGTTACAAAATGTATACAGCTTATATATGACTGGCTCATAAAAGAATCTTATTTGGAAGTCAAGAGTGAGCAATATCAAATACATAGACAAGTCTATGCTGAAATGAAAAAAGTCTCAGTGGAATTAACAGAGACACAACATCTTTAGAAGAAAGAGCAGGGCACAGGTTCGGTAATAGCCAACCCTGTATCCCTGAACCAGCACCACCACTCAGCAGCTGCCTAAATTTGATGGAGTTTCTTAGAGTCCTTTAGCTGTAATCTTGTTGCCCATGAAACAGGATGGCTGTGAGGGCTGACAAGCCCACACACACATAGCACTTAGCTTCATGCCTGCAATAGAGTAGGCATTTGGCAAAGGTTCCCTCTTTGACTTCTTTTTTGTTTGTTTTTAAGTACTTAGTAATTGTATGAAATGCACAGTTTTTCAATAGTTTAACTCTTGTAATTCTGAAATAATATTTTTGTTTTTTCACCATGAAGTGATTCACTGTGGAAAACTTTTGGGGCGTGTCTGTAAGGAACCCCAGTAAAGAAGACCTAACTGATAACTGCCATAGAGGTTCTGGCTCCTAGAAGGCCCAACATGCAGCTTCCTATCAGCGGCATCCCAAGGAGACTCATTCCTGGAGAGTCAGACAGGTCATGCAACACAGAAAGTGAAGGCGAGAGAAAAACCGCACAGATTCAAGCTCAACAACTTGGACTATCCAGGTTTCTTTCCCCTTCCAGAGATCTCCTCAGAGGGAAGAGCTAATACCTCAAACATTTTCTGAGGCAAAGACAAGACACTTGCCAAAGATAGTTAGGAATCTGAACTCCTCACCGCAATTGCCAGATCTCTGTGATTTGGGGAAAGATACTAAATCTCACGAGCTTGTTTCTTCACTTTACAAATGAAGATACTGATGCCCACTTTGGTGCCTCTGTTGTCGAGACAGGTGGCTACACCTGCAGGTTTGTGTGTATGATGCTCACACAAACCTGCATACCGATGTGTCTCTCAGAACGCCTCCCCTACTTCTGCAGTGCATGACTATGTACCGGTGTTCACTTTAAAAGCAATAAACAGAAAGGAGAGGGAATATCTGACTGACTTAAAGACAGGTACTGAGTGGGGGAGATAACACAGCAGCACAAGAGCCTGCCTTGCAAGCACAAGGTCCTGAGTTCAACTTCTGGTACCAAACAAATAAAAAATAAAAATAAAAACAGGTATTCCAATGGTATCTGGAGAATGGGTTGAAGGGGAATAGGAGTGGATGAGGACAAAAGCAGCTGATGTCAACTTGGAACTGCACACCTGTGTACTGGTGGTAACAGCACGTGAGATGTGATCCTGTCACTTTCGTTTCAGCAAATATGTACTAGGCACCCTCTGTGAGCCAAAGACTGTGCCGAGTCCTAAGGAAAGGTAAAGTCTAGGAGAGGAGAGAGCTGCTGAAGCAATCACTGTAACAATAAATGTATAACTAATAACGGGTTCGCGCCAATGGGAAAAGCAAAATGATAAGATTCAGTGGCAGAATTAAGTTTGGGTGAGTACAGAGAACACATCTAGTAGGTCAAATCGACAGGCCTTCACCACCCTATAAGATGGTTTTATCAGTGAATAGCTACTAAATGCAACCGGTGGTAGGCTAATTTTATTCGTAAAACTGACACAGCTATGTGACTATTGTTTGGTCAAACCCTCGTCTGCTTGCTGTGGAGGTACTTTTCGGGTGTTATTGATCTTTAAAGCAGTTAGCTTTGGAAAGGTTAGCATTTAACTCAGCAGACCAAGTAAAGGATGAACAAGACACACAGTCTCTCCCCATGTGCAGCTCCCACTATATTCTCTCTCGTTGGTAGCATATGAGTGAAGAGGCTTAGTGAGCTATTAGAATTGTGCATGTTCGTGACAGCATTCTAGAAGGACGCAGAAATGCATAGCAAGGCAAACCTCTCACAATCACATTTAGCCCACTGCATCTTCTTATATCGTGTAGATGCAGAGTCCCTCATTGAGAATTTAAGAGACTAGAGAAAACCTCTTTTGTCAGTCGCAAGTTCCTGAGCCATACGAAGGAAACAAATCATGTAAACGAAGTAAAGCACAAAGATTTTTGCCTATTTTGAGAGAAAAAGAAATCCGTTGTTCAATCTGTCCGTCCAAACGATGAGGAATGTAGAGATTTTTTTCAAATAAATACAATAAAGTGGATCTTCCAGGTAAGAAGGAATTTTGGAAAGAGAAAGAAAGCCTTGAAGAAGAAATAAGGAGAGAAAATGGGAAGCAGAAGAGACACAAAAGAGGAAATAAAAGGAGCTCAGTAGAAAGAAGGCTGGGTGAGACTCCCCATGGTGACAGCACCCGCTCCTCCTCACAGCAGACCCCAAAGCAGCCTGAACGAGGGGTAGAGCTAAAGAAAGAGCCACCCAAGTCAACCCCAGGAGTTGACCAAAATTAACTGACTAGGAAAGGGGCTGGAGTGACCACAAACCCAAGGTGAGCATCCATAATCTAAAATTACAGAATTCTAAATGTTCCAAAATCTAGAACTTTTGGTTGTCAGTCTGATAACACAAGTGGAAAATTTCCCACCATGAACAGAAAATATTATTTTAAATGTTGTACAATATTCGTTGAAATATTGTATAAAACTACCTTCAGGCTATGTGTATTAGCTGCGTATGAAACATAAATGAATATCACATTTAGACTGACTTACCATCACCAAGATGTACAATAGTGCGTATGCAAATATTCTAAAATTTCAAAAGAAATTCGAAACCTGAGATAAACCTGCTCCTCAGCATTTTTGGGTAAGGAATACTCACACCTGCCTGAGGGAAACTTACCTGTCCTGTCTGTAGTTATAGTCATTTTCTATTCATCCAACACATCTTACTAAGATAATTCTCCTAAATTAGGAAGTCCAGGCATTACAGAAATTGTACTAAATCCACCTATATTATTGTGGTTTCCAAAAAATTAAAAACAAAGTTCAACTGGTTATTCTGTTGACACTTCTCCTCAGAAGTCCCTGGGACTGTCTTTCACCTTTCAGCTGTTTATCAATAAAAAGAAAATGATTCAGATTTTCCAATTTCAAATTCACCTTGATGTTTCAACAACCGATGAAAACTGCCCCTAAGATTAAATCTTTGTCTTATCTTGTATATGTATCTTTCAACAATATCCTGAATGCTATATGATTAAAAATGCTTAGTTTATTTAAAAATGCCTCATAAAATAATCTCTGCACCATATCTGAACCCCTTTATTCGTGGAAAGTTAGCCGAGTCTTTTATTAAAACGTGCAGCTTCAATTACTACTGGCTAGTACTGGAATATGATCTTCTGAATGTGAATAACTTTAAGGAACGTTCACCCTCGTGATTCTCTCATCAATAACCTTTGTAAACCCTAGAACACTTTGTAAACTACAAAATCTGCACAGAGGGATGCACTTAAGGAGCAATTTTGAATTGTTATTTTACAACCATAACTAGATTCAAGATTATAGAAAAGAATATTATTATCCTATCTGCATCTCTGCGGCTCAAAGGTTAGACAGTGGGTTTGCACATTCAATGAAAGGAATTCAATAGTGACGGTGAATGGAAATCTCATGTGCTGGATGCATTTTACTGAAGAATGCTCATTTTAAATTTCAAGGGCAGAGATGCATCTGCAAAGTGATGCTCCTCAGATGCATGACATGTCTTATAATAGCCCAAACTTTTCACAGCAGCCTCGGATGAAAGTAGACTGATGCTTCTTTCATCTCACCAGCTTGCTGTCCTTGATCAAAAATTACCTTCACCGCCCATCACGTTGTTGCTGTTTAAAAGTTACCATTTAAATTGTAAGCTGCAAAATCTAAGCGGAACTGCATGTGTGATCTTTGTCACCTCATTTTCATGAATGGAAAAGAATATTCTGACACAAAAATTACATACTTAATTCTAGCTCACCCTCTCTGCTGACCTCCATCCCACACTGCCTTGGGTTTATTTCCTCATCCATCAGTGGGTCAAAGTAATTTCTGCCGTATTCATTTCCTGTGGAAAGTACATGAGGTAAGGGTCAGTGATTATTAGAAGCACATGAACCAAAATGTTAATTTTGAAATCGACACCAGCACAGAAGGACCATTTTAGCTACTTTATAAGCTTACAATTTTTTACAAGTTTTTCAGGCCTCCCGTTTTTGTAATTATCAACTTGCAAAAGGTCAGAAAAGGTAATTCAAGAAACAAGTTCACACTATCTTTCTGTTGCTAAAAAAAAAAAAAAAAAATTAATGAGAAAATTATCAAAAGCAGACTTTAAAAGAATAATAAAAATTTAAGCCAAACTATTTTAGGATACACTCAAGAAATGGACATTTCTGCATCATGATGATGTGTAGAGTTCACTAACAATTCTATTTGCTGACTTGTATTTCATTAATCTTATCATGTGGTTTAACAGTTCTGAAGTAGTGACTTCAGTATGAGAACCTATAGCAAAATCACAATGTTGATAATAGAGTGAAAAGACAGAGAGGAATGAAAAAACAAAAGAAAGGAAAGGAAGGAGAAAACAAGGGAAAGAGAGCTGCTTATAGGTCTTTTTTTAACGTCAGCCTAAGTAACATGTAGGGGAGGTGTAAACGATTTAGTCAGAAATTTTATACAATACGCATCAACAAACTAAACACCCCATCCCCAAATTTCTCACTTCACATTTCCCACTTATTCGACCCTTATCTGTGTATCCAAACTGTAGCATGAGGTTTGACTTTGTAATAGAGAAAAAGGTCTGCTATCAATTTTCTAAATCTAGTTTCATTCTTCCTGCAGACTGAAATGTATATGTCTGTTGCCAGTAATTTGCATTCAGCAAAATGTAACCTACTCTGACCATAATTCAAGTTGCCTCACGCACTGCAAAAGAAATAAAGCATTGTAGAATGAAAACAACAACTTCAAGAGTATGGCTCACGGTGAAAGGTGAATACACATCAGGATTGTCTTAGTTATTTTTCTCGTTGCCGAAACAAAATACTCAATATTCAAAGTTAAGGGAGGAAAGGTTTATTTGGTTCACAGTTTGTAGAGGTTTCAGTTCATAGTCAGCTGGCTCCAAGGCAGGGTGGCATGGCAGACAAGCATCAAAGAGGAGAAACAGTTTATGGTGGGCAGAAGATAGCAAAGCAAGCAAGGGACAAGATAAGCCTCTTTCTGTTCCTTATATTGTATCCAGGATCCCAGGGCTAGGGTAGGGACAAACCGACTGATTTAGTAATCAATCACCCACTCTTAATCCTAACATTGCACCAGGAATCAATCACTCACTCTAGATGCAGCCACCTCTGACAAATCCCCACCTATGACTGCATGAGGAATTGGGAGGACATCTAGACACAAGCTGTAACAGGTATACTGTGTTACTCCACCGTGTGTTTATTTTAGGATCAAAAGTAATCCAAACAGCAGCTCCTTGTCCAAGGGTAAAGGACACAATATAAACCGGGTTTAATTTCTATTTCTGAGCTGGCACATTCTTGCTGTAAGTCTCTGTTTTATCATTTACTAGGTAAGTACAAGAACTGCAAACCTGCTTCACCTTGAGTCCTCAATAAAGAAAAAATAATTGAAATTCACTCTTGTCACTTCATCTGTTAACAACTACTAGGCTGATGTGAATCTTGGGATATGTGATCAAAGTCTTATGTACCACAATAACAGGCCAGGCTACCTCATTCACTTTCACTGTATTTGTTTTTGTCTACCACAAAGCACTGTGGAACTCTAAGCACATTTTTCCCTCTGCAGGCAAAATAGTCACCCATCCAAAAGCAAAGATGGCAGCCTATTTGTTATGATATTGCTTTTCAGCACTGGTCTTCTACTGGACACATATCCTAGAAGCTTCCCAGTTCAATATAAAACTCAATTATCTGCCTCCAAAAATAACCAATTAGTAAATAATTCCAAGGTAACCAAGACTTTGAAAAGCAAAACAGTGTTAAATTGTTTTTAACTGGAGGTCTAGGAAAGTGCATAGTCAGCTGTCTTTATCTTTGGATACCACACTGGTGGATTCAACCAACCATGGATCAAAAATATTCAGAAAAAGAACTGCATCTGTACTGAACATGTACAAACTTTTGTGTTGTTATTCCCTAAACAATATAGCATAGTAACTACATGCATAGTGTTTCCATTGTATTCAGAATTATACATCATTTAGAGATGATTTAAAGTACGTGGAAGGTTGTATGTAGCTTCTATGCAAATACTACATCATCTTACATGAAAGACTTGAGCATCTATGGATTTCAGTATGGGTAAGATTCTGGAACCAGTCTCCCTCAGATGCTGAAGAGATGACTGTACTTAGTTTTGGGGTTCTCAAGCCATCTTCATCTCAAGACTGGGGTCTTGCCTGGATGTGCTTGAAGAAGACCTGTATGCTGGAAGCCCTGCAAACTTCCAAGGGTCCTTTTAGAGGTCCGTGCTCACACACACAACTGGGAGAGGGCCCCTCATGGTCTGCACAAACCAATCCTCTGCACGTCGTGTGGGCTGACAAGCACATGTCAGTTACAAATGCCCCTCCCTCATTTTATATTTTCCATCCTGGGATAGAGTATATAGCGTCTAATCAGGAAAGAATTGTGAGCTTTCTTGCATGCACCAAGAAGCACTGCCTGACAGTCCTAGTACCAGCTCCACATTCCATGTATGTGTTAAATTCAGATATTTTACATTTTATACGTGTTTTCTGTCATATTTTACATTACAATCTATATTCCTTTCCACACACAGTGTACCACACTTGTCCTTTTCCTGTCTCATTCACTGAAACACAGACCTGGTGAGAGGAAAGCCAGCCTCCCTCTGCTCACCGTGTCGCCCTCTCACTGAGCACACAGCCTAACTCACAGAGTGCTCACAGCAGGACAGGAATTCACTAGTTAAATAAAACTCTCTTGGAAGCCTATTGTAGCATCCAGATCCTTTCAGTGGCTGCGTGCTTTTTCTTGATTAAAATGAGCATCAAGATAGCCCCTTTTAACCGCCTTTTCGTTCTCTCTTCCTTTCTGTTCTCCCTCCCTCCTCACCTTTCCCCGTGGTCCTTCTCTGCCACTTCTCTTTTTACTTCAATGCCATCTCGGAACCAAACCATGTCTTCATTAAAAAGAGACAAAAACACTATGATTCTGTGTCTGGAACATAATCTGTTGTGAAAACAGGGACATTAACCACACACACATCCAGCTATGATTTCATACTGCTGAGAAGGACAGAATTCTGTGGTAGCATGTAGGGAGGGCATCTAACCTCTGCTGGAAAATATTCAGAACAAGAAACTGCACCTATGCTGAGCAGTAAAGACTTATTTTCTTTGTTTCCTTTCTTTAATCTGTAAAAAAAAAAAATAGCAACTATAACATGCAAGGTCTTGAAATACTTCCTGGAGAAATTCGTACCTATAGTAATTTTGTGATCAGGATTATCCAGGTCAAAAATGAACCAAGGGAAAGGAATTTTTCACAGACAGGAAGACTTGGCCAATGAGAAAAAGCATAGAGGCATGCAAGCAAGGGAGGCACATTTTGTTAGTTGATGTCTGTCCATTTTTCTCATCTTTTAAATTTATAATTTAGCAAAAGAAGTATGGAATCCAAACTTCTTCACTAGCCCCAGAATTGAGTTTAACTAATGCTTTTGCTCAAATTATTCCTACAATGCTGGGTAGAGTCACCTTATGCCAATATGCTATGTCCTATCTATTCATTCATTCAACCAATATTTTTCAGCTCTTATCACGTGATAAATCATTTAAACATCCAAAATTCCCTCCCTTCCCACAGTTGATAAGTTTCTAAGAGGAATAATGAACACAATAAATGTATCTACACTCTCAGTGAGTTAGATGATGAAAAGTGATGAGCAGAAAAACCAGCTACAGATCATCTGGCCCCCAATAAGGAGGAGGATCGTACGTCTTCGAACATAAGATGTCACTTATGGTTAAGCCACTAATGCCTTCAAGCCCATTAAACTAAGAAAGCTCTAATGTATTTTTCACTATTTATTGTTTGTAATTTATTAGTGTTCTAATTGCTTGCTGCAACATCCATTGGTATACAGATCAAATAAGAATTCACATGAAATACTAAAATACATATGTACCTATTTCCTTTGCATTGTACTAACTGGGAGAGGGCCCCTCCCAAGACTTTGCTAATGGTAGAGAAGCTAATAATTTAGACATAGCAGGTAAAATTGAGGATGGCAAATCTTATGGACTCTGTTACAAAATTTGGAAACAATGGACTTAGTCCATTTTAAAACTAGCTTCCTTTGCTCAGATTTCATTGAGTAATGTCAGTTTAATAAAAATGGATGGTTTCAGCATAGGGGGGGTATATTACCAGAAGCTAGATTGCTAATAGGATGAATTCTTAAAAGTATCATAATCATTCAGAGTATGCTTTTGGATATATCCGAAATCATCTCACAGGAAAATTAACAGACCCACTGAGAAATTCAAAGTAGGGCATGTAGCAATACAAATACAATAGGTTTAAATCTGGCTGCTTTTAACTCCTTGTGATATTTAGAAGAATGATATGGTAATCACATATGTATATACATGGATAGACATGATAGATAGGTAGATAGATGATAGATAGATAGATAGATAGATAGATAGATAGGTAGATAGATGATAGGATGGTTCTACACAGAACAATCAGAAGTGACATGTAAACTAATAAGTGAGTGAATTGTTCCTGTCAATACTTTTCATACTTTAATTTGTTTCCCACTTTCTACCATTAGCTGTGCGGTGTTTAGAATCAGCATTGGTTAATACATTTCTCATGCTGTTTTTTTTTCTAAACTGAGGGAGAAAAACACACTCACTTGCTTCCTGCCCTTCCACACATATCAAGTTTTCCTATCATTTAACTCAGAGCAGCATAGAACATAATCAGGGCTTTTACTTAAATTACACCGCACATGAACTTTGGTCAGGAAACCCTCCAGTGTGCACCCATGCAGTTC